GCGGTCGCCACATGAATAAACCATGTGGCCAGAATTAAGCTCCTGTTAAACGACGCACAGCATTTTCCCAGGTGCATCATCCTCCCAAGTCGAATCCACAGCCGCTGAAGTTGTGCTGTTGCCGTTATGTTATGGCAGTTTGTCGATGGATAAGTGGGGCAGCTGGAGCTCGGAACCGTCGGAGGATTTTCTTAATCTTGTACCCACTACTAGTTACAGCTGAGGGGGGAATAGTTACGTGTTTCTTAATGGAGTGATTTAAAAAAAACAACTTTAATCTTACAGTTCAATCTTAAAGTTGAGATGGTTTGACACAGTAGAATGTAACTCCACTAAATAATGCATTTCCATTGCATAATTTATTCAATACCATAATAGCGTGTTAAATTAAAATGTTCATATTTACACACTGTCCTTCTTGTTAGAATATTCCAGGGCTGAAACTAGTGCCGTTTATTATTCTGTTATTTTACTGACTGTGTGAATATGTAGTGGACACCTGCTGTACTCAAGATCAAGTTAAGAGATCCAATTACATAACATGTTTTTTGATGCAATTTTTACTCTTGAATACAATACGTGACGAGTAGTCCCGGGAAACCGAACCATGCTTAAGTATGAGTCTCGTCCACGCTCTTAATATGAATATTTGTCTTCAGTCCATCTTTACTCTAATGCTACATTCCTGATGCCTTACTATGTGTCCATTTCTGTAACTAACTATCATAATCACATGGCGTCTGGTCGGAGATTGAGAGACAGTGAAGGGAATCCTCAGCTGGATCATGTCAAGCTGCTAATACTAATCATTCACTTGTAATAAAAAGTAAAGTACCCAGGAGTGCATTTTTACAGAGATCAGGAATGAGACATTGCTGCATTGGCTGAACTTCATGCTGTCAGCATTACAGAAACACCCATAAATGCAGCGACAAACACCCTCTCGGGTTTTATGACCAGAGCAGGTGTTGTCTCTTTAAAGTGATGTGTGTAGGGAGGAGTACGACAAGAAATCCAGAAAGATCGCTAACTAGATTCTCCATTCTACTAAAGCACAGCGCACTATTTCATCTCCATTAAATACAGTATTTAATTGTCCATGGCGGAGGAAGTGTTCATGTGATCATTCTGTGTATTTTTTACTCTTTCAAGTAAAAATCCTCAATTCAAAATTGTCCCCTAGTAAAAGACAAGACAACCAATACTGAAACATGTCAGCTAGATTAGAGATAGAGATGAGAGAGTGAAACATTGTTGACAATGTCCCGCTTAAGTGCAGCTGAGGGTGTTTGGCCTTTTATTAATGGAAGTCGGACAAAAGAGCCGGTTAGTGCGAGTCGCCATAATGCCTGTTATTATTTCTACCTGTTTTAATTAATGATCAGACTTATATAACGTAGGAACCTTTTTGGATGGTACTTAAAGTTTTACAAGAACCTCTTAGGGATTGTTTACTGAAGTCCTCAGAGTGTTTTAACCTTTAATGTGTCCAGCTGGGGGATAAGAACAAAGTCAGCAAATGACCAAAATGGATGTGTGTGTGTGTGTGTGTGTTCAATTGAATGAGGAAGTGTGTCCAAACCTCTGACTGGTACTGTCTCGTTCATCCCCTTCATAAGAAATGAAGGAAACGGCTGAAAGTTATAGATCTGCTGCATAAACCAAGAACATCTTTCATACTAGAAGCTCATGACTTTATGAAACAACATTTACACTGGGACCATGCCTGGTTTTCTTTTCTGTATTGTGCATGTTGTGCTATCTAGTGTTTAAACTGTAATTTACTATCAAATGTTTGCGTTTTGTGGACGATACGGATCATTTATCTTATTATGTTATGAGTTATTATGAAATATTGGGGGGGGGAAAAGAAAAGTGCAATGCTTGTCTGAATATACATCTATACATTCCGCCAATCAGCACATTTCAAACATCACTCTGTACCCAAACAAGGGCTTTTACGCTCCGTTTTTGCTGTTGATTGCAGCCGGTTTTAGTTAAATGCTGATTTGTCTCTGTGTTTCTCCACTTGTCAGAAAACCAGCATGTCCCCTGACATATCCTTGTCCCCGTCCGTCACCTAGGTGTGCAGCTGAAGCCGGAGGAAGCCGTGTCTATGTTGAGCCACGCCGTGGCCTTCCTAATGAGGCCTGACTCGTAATGACTCACAGACCCCAGCAGAAGACAGCGGTGGGCCGGCAGTGGGGGCTTATCTCATTGGCACTCTGTGCTGCGCGGTTACACCTGTAACCTTTTAGATCACTTCAAATTAGGTTGCTTGGGGAATCTTCACAGTAGTGATTACAAAACAGAGGGGCACTGGAGAAGCCTCATAAAAATGTATACATGAGCCCTCCGCTTGAATCCAGAGGAGGGGGTAGTGAGTGGGCTGCTTGTGCAGAGACATGTCACACGCAGACGCTGACGACTGATCAGGCATTCTCTCTGTTGCTCTAGACAAAATGGCAATACCAAGCAATGTTTCCGTTGACTGCTTTCCATTATGTAGATGTAAATTAACACAAGCAAGATGAAACTGAGCATCGTGATAAGTGAGCACATGACCAAGTCGAGGCTGAATAAGCAGCCGGGATCTATAGATGGGAGGTGGGCTTCTTTCTCCAGTGAGTCAGTCGTGCCTGCTGAGCATCATTCATGGAAGAGTGCATGTGCTGGTCAACCAGGGGACGGGGTGGGTAATTGCATTGCACTTTGATAAGTCACATGCCGGAGACACGTGGCTTTAATCATGCAAATGTCTCTGCTGTTAGGCAGTGCCGGGGACGAAGGTGACTCGCACTAATCAATGCCTTTCAGCAGGCTGGTGGTCACGTGTTAACCATCGGTATCCGTGTCAAGATTCAGAAGTCCTTGCTCCCACGTGCACTACCTCCTACATACACTGCCTCTTGTACTTGTGCAGGACGCACACACGGCAATTGTGTCTTCATCAGTGGCCTAAGAGATCTCACTATTTCAGCAGTTTCTCAGCAGGATCCGATGCGGCAGCTCTACAAGATGGTCCCCTCGTCCCAGTAATCAAAGTGGTGAGAAACAGGGAAGAAATTCATAGTGGGGGAATGAGGTCTCTGGAGAACATTTAGTTTGGTCTGAATAGAACATGTTTGAAGTGGAAACAGTAACAAGCTGTTTTTGTGGATGTCGGCAGACACAGGGGGCAAGAGGCATATTGATCAGACATGACTGCCTTATGCAGTTATGCTTCCACGCAATTAACAATGAACAGAAGTTCACTTCGACCCAGTGTACCACTGTTGAAAGTGTGTTGAACCTTTTCCCAAACATTCAAATGTTAAAATCCATATTAAAGCGTATGGTAGGGATCTGTATGACTAAAAATCCTTGTCCTTGACATTCATCTTTTTAAAGTCAACAGTCTGTTCTGCCGGCATGTGCTGTGCTGCACACAAATGACTAAGTGGAAGTAAACTGATCCAGCAGAGTATAACATTGGGCGTCGCATCTCAGTGTAATGACAACAACAATAGTGACAACATGGACAATTTGCATTTGTAATCTTTAGCTTTTCTTTGTTGACATTGGACAACAAACAGCGCCTGCCTGCATGGAGCTTGAAGATTATGGGCTGGATAAAGAAATGCCGCCTGCTAAATAATACATTTTCACTACAAACGAAAATGCATAATTTTTGGAGCATATCAAGGGTTTGGGGGCCACATTTTAAAAGAACCTACATTTGTGACTTTAATCTTAGAGAAAGCTATAGACTGTATATCTAGGAAGTGGATGAAGTCATCATGAGGACGCCCATTGGTTTGTGGAAAGCCGGTTCGATTTGAAGCCTTGAGTTCATTTGGTCCACTTGGTCTCTTTTACTCTAAATGGGACCATGACGTCTCAACACAATGCTGTACTAATGAATAATTGAAAGCAGCTACTGAGGCCATTAACTAATGTTTACCATGGTTACAGAGGGATGAAATGAAGTGAGAAAAGCGTTCTGAACTTACGATTGGACATCTTTCCGTTGCAAGAAGAGTGACAATGAAAGAGAACGCACATTTTAAGACCCTCTGCATTGAATATTGCCCCCCTCCCCACCGCCGTTATTATTTGGGTTTAGTGCTATAATGTCTCCATACAGTTAAAAAAAAAATTGTATTATGAAAAAGCACTTCACCACATTTGAGGAGAAGCTAAAAACCTACAGTTTACTGTGGTTTGGCTGAAACGAACCACAGTAAACGATACAAATTCAGCCAGTTATCAGAATACTAAGTTATGTTATTTCATTGATATATTCATGCTTGATATAGTTAAGATTTAATCAATTTGTTAACCAGCTGTATGATGGTGTGTCAGTGGACCAGATGATTTAAATTCAGTTTCTTATTCAGTCTTCCATTTCAATGACTACCCTAATGGGCCTTAATTATTCAATTAGCCAAGAACAAAAACTTCCGTTTTATGTTTTCGTATCTTAATTCAGAATTCAAAGCACCTGAAGGGCAGACGATTCTCCAACCTGCCCTCTGACCTTCTGGAGGAATCATTAAGAGCCATGAAGAGAGCGATAATAAACACATCAATGTCCTGTTCATCGCTGCATTATAATTCCAATAACCCTTGTGTACGCTTCTTTATGAGCACACACCGCGGCATCATGACACATTGTGGACCAGCCACTTGTAGTGCTGAAGTGTGAGCATAGTTCATTGTATTAGCCCCTCTTGAGTTGAATGTAGGCTTTTATTCCCGTGGGTGACGTAGTGTGTCTGTGGACACCAGGTAGGAGGGACACTGGAAAGTGGAATGAAAACCGCGTGGTTGGATGCGGAGGCTGCGCACAGTAAATTGGTTCTTTCAAGAGCAGCTTTTGTGAACTATATCCCAGTTGAGATTCTTGATCCCATAAGAAATTCATGAGTTTCGAGTGCGCGCATGCGTGCGAGAGCCAGCAAGGAGCATGTGTCTCGTGTGTGTCATCATAAGCTCATTATTTTTCTTTTCTCCCACAGATCTGCAACCTGCCATCACCCCTTCCAGCGAGCGTGCGTGCGAGCGTGCGTGTTGGGTCACAGCGGCACCTCTGTCACTTTGTGGTACCGGAGCCCCCTCAGCGTCCACAAAAGCCCGCCGCCCCCGCTGCACCCCCCTACCCACGCCCCCCCCGAGGACCACAGGCTGCAGGATTAGGTGAGCTTAGGGCCCCGTGTCTCTGGTCGCTCGGACTGGCTACCTCGCCACACATTCAGGATAATCCTAATTTGCTCACCTCTCGGCCCCCGGCAGCCGGCTCGGTGCTGAGAGCTCGTGAGGTTTGCAAAATGTGACAAGTTGCGAGGTATTTCAGCTTGTCCTTAGCCATTTATAGGAAGCACTGAGGGTGGTGGTCTAATCGCGGGAGAAATGAAAACGTTCTAGTCAATCAAGCAGGGTCCCTGCAGTGGTGCACCTGATGGTTTCATAGAAGGGCCTGAACATAAGAACAGCTGAAGCCCTTTAACGTGTATGCATGTCGATTAATCATCCTGTTAGGGAAATGAACAGGAATTTAACCTCTGCCTGTTCGGTGGAACTGCTACTTAGAGGAAGTGGAGGTCTGATTGATTTTCTGTCCCGTGTGAGTGAACTACATGCGGCTATCAATGCAGGAGTTGAACTGAACATGTGAATGCCTGTGTTATCGGATACGGTCACGCCGACATACTGAACAAACACAACGAAGAACGCGCAAGGCGCACTGCCTGTCGTGGACACCATATGATCACCATACATTAAGCTATAAAAAGACACAAGTTTAAGTCAGTTTCCTCGTATTTATTTCTCCCGTGTTGGTTGTTTTCGACACGATGATGCAAGAGCGAGTTTTCTATTCGAACGAGGTCCGATAAGTTCAGTCCAGAGACACATACCAGATATTAGAAACATTCATGTTTCTGCTTTTGCATCCAGTCCTCATTGTGTCACACTTGCTTTGTCTCTGGTGGCGATGTGCTAAGGTAGGAGCGGCTTGTGGGGGGGTGAATCCATCACTGTCATGGGAGCCCGTTGATCATATGCACTCTGCCTACAGGTCTAATGAAATAACCTGGTGGTTTAGACAAATCTGTACCTCCGTCGGTGTCGGACACAACAGAGCATGTGTACTTTTTAGAAGGTCTTACTGAAAGAAAAAAGTACAGGATCAATTTCTAAGTATTGGCATGTACTGTAACAATCTTAGCTTGGAAATGATGTTAAAGCAATAGTTTGGCATTTTAATAAATGTGCTTATTCGCTCTGTTCAAAGGTAAAATCCACTTGCCGGTACCTGACATTCTCCCTCCGATGTAACGGCTGCACAGACGTTAGTCATAAGCCACGTGCCCACGATCCGCATGCATACTAATCTGCTGCTCAACCTTTTCCCACAAGTTCTTTCCATCATTTAGCTCTTTTAAATTTTTTAACTCTCATCTCTGAAACCATGATTCAACTCACATGGTCGCACATTTGTCCAGGAAGGTACCAGGCGGCTTCCTCCTGGTCTGAAAGGCGAAGCCAGCAAGGGGCAACTTGACTTAACGCGGGAATGTTTGCGTCTAAGTCTGCGATAAAATGCATGAATGAATACTGAATTACTTTTACCATCAAGGGTAAAATCCACCATAGATAAGAGTAGGGTTTAGGGCGTGGCTGACTGGTGATTGACAGGTCTTTAGCATGGCATTCTATGTGTGCTCCATGTTTTTGTCTTTGAACTTTAATCCTGTTACATTCTGGTTTTATTTTCACACTCCAGCTTTTATGCTAACCTAAGCTAACCGGCTTTAGCTTCATATTTACCACACAGACATGAGAGAGGTTTCCATCAAAACCTATTTCTAAAAAATCCCAGACTATTCCCATAAACGAGCAGAGGCATGTTGTGTGTTTTTTTTTTCTTGCTGTGACTGCAAGTAGAAAATATTTCTTATTTCATTTTGAAAAGCGATTGAAGTGAAAGCCATTTGCTCCCCTGTGCCCCTCGCAGGGTGAAGAATGGGCTCGTCTGTTGCCCTGGCGGCCTTGCTGCTTGTTCTGGGCTTAACCCCTCATGTCGGGAGCCTGAACCCGGACGACCCAAATGTTTGCAGCCACTGGGAGAGGTGAGCATTATCCGCCTGCGTTTCCCGCCGGGCACCGTTCTACGTTTGAAGGTGAATTTGTTGGTGTTGAACAGCACTAAGGAACCTGGAACTTTTCCACTGCAAGTGCTATTAACTAAAGTTCCCAATCTGTTCCCGAATCTATACAGCAGTATATCGATCTCACACAGCTCATGTCGCCAAGCTCTCAGAGATGGGAGGAGCTGCAGCTTCAGATGAAATACGAAGGCAAATTGATCAGTGTACTCTGGTCCCGATCAATCAGCCATGGAGTCTGAATAATTATCAGTTGTGCTGGCCAGTGTCATCTATGAGAAATAAGCAGGAATCATTTCTCTCCTTGATACAAAGGGGAGGAAAGAAAGCGGTGAAGATATATGATCTGGATTATTGCCCGACCAAGGTGAGTGTACTTAGGGATTGTGGTTCCACCTTGTTGCCGTCGAAATGAATTCCCTAAGTGGCTCTGCAGTCGTGGCTTTGAGGTTCCGCAATATCCTCAGACCGCCTCCGGCTGCATATATCACTGACATGCAGCCCCTAAAAGCTCCTTTCAAGTTCTTTCTTTGCATATCTAACGTATTGTATTACTCCGATAGGGGCCGTGTCCATCGACAGGACCTGTGTGCTGTTGTTGTCCATTAGAGGCGAAAGCTATTCTTGGCAGAACTGCTCACAACTAGAAAGACATCTGAAATTGCTGATTTGTAATAAACAAGTAATCACATTAATGAGCCTGTCATGTTTTGTAATGTTAAATTGAAAACTTAAAAGGCTCGTTGTCTCTTAGTTGTAGTGGAGTACACAGTATGTAGTGTTGCTGAAGTAGCATTATGGAAATGGTCAATTTGAAGTGTGAATTTTCTCTGAATTTTTTATGAAGTTGCTTCCTCTTTTCTGTCTTTCAGCTACGCTGTGACTGTTCAGGAATCCTACGCTCACCCATTCGACCAGATCTACTACACCAGATGCACAGACATCCTCAACTGGTTCAAATGCACACGACACAGGTACCTCAGGAGGAGCATCCTTATTTGTTTTCCAGATTAGTTTAATGAGTGACTCAAACTCTTCTGTCCCCGAAGAAATCCAAGCCAAGTCATTGAAGGCCACAGCAACTGTCCTTGTTAAAGTAAAGTGCTCAGAGGCAAGATACCTCTGACTCTAATCATCTCACAGTAAATGTTTTAATTACTCCATTAAGGTTTATAGTGGGCATCCAACTTATCCCTGACTTTTTACACTCCTTAGACTTACAAACATGCCAATAGCAGCAAAAAAGCATGATACCTTTACCCACTAGATGTTCCCTGCCCTTCAGAAAGGGTCATTTCTTACATCGCGTCGCTGTCTGTGTGTTTTCTCCAGGATCAGCTATAAGACGGCTTATCGGCGGGGAGTGAGGACCATGTACAGGCGCCGTTCGCAGTGTTGCCCCGGTTACTTTGAGAGCGGAGACTTGTGTGTTCGTGAGTACGCTTTGATGACTTTTTCACGTTATTTCTGCCAGAGTTTTAGAGAAGAGGAGTAAATATTAGGATTGGGATTGTTAATGTGGGTGGCGTGCAGATGGACTGTACCTCCCTTGCAGGCCACCACATCACCCCCCCCCCACCCCGCACCCCCCCACCCACTCTTGTCTAATCCTCTCTATCATGAACAACCAATGCTCATGCTGCCACCATCCATGTGTTTTCTCATTTTAAGATGATTGAGGCACAGTAGGCCGCTGCCTGCTTTGACCTTCCACTAAGAGTAATTTAATTGAAGTTGTATAACAATGATAAAAATTAACGAGCCAGCAGGGTCCTGGTTACACCATAAAACCACCCTGAAATTCAATAACATAAGAGGAGCAGAAGCCGTGTAAAATTGCTAGCAATGGACTGATAACAACCATTTGCGTCGTTTTTATGTCTTCATTAATGGTCATTGATTTTGATTTTTATTTACTCACATCAAACTGAATATTTCCCCCCGTTGGCCAAATAAAAACGGATCATATAGCTTTTGAGAGTTACATTTCTGATTTCCTCCCCTCAGCTAATGTTTTATTCCCTTTAAGTCAGATTAGAATCACATTTGAACGTTTTCTTAGATTATTTGCACCACCATTTGACGCCGTGGCTGCAGCCATGTGGTTGTGCTCCCCTGACCACAGCTCGCCGTTTCCTTGCCTCCACTTTACTGGCCTGCGGGGCAGCAGAGCACCGGGAAGCCAGCCAGCAAAGAATAAGAGCTGGTGTGATTATCAGGGTCTGGAGGAGGGAAGCACAGATTGATCAATAATGTATTCATTAACTATTTAACTGTCAATGGAGCTATTTGTTCATGTGCCGCCTTTTCAGGGGTGTTAACCAGGTGAATGTCACTCTTAAATCTTGTTTCAAGAAAAAAACTGTGATATTATGTCAGACCGAGAGTGAAACGAAGCGTCCTCCCGTCTCTCAGGTGAAGCGGGGAGACTGAGTTGATAGGGGCCGAGAGGGCAGTTTTGCTTTCTGCTGCCTTTGCAAACTGTTACACCCCTTTTAATCCTAGCGCTCTCAATACAAGGATTAAGAGATTTGTACTCCCCGAGCCTTTTTGCATGGAGTGACAAAAGAGTGCAATTGGACAGCAAATCGACCCGAAATGAACTCAAGTCGTCTATTTCAGGAATACTTTGTTCTTTGCTGAAAGTAAAGGGGTGTATTGTAAGTTGATTGTAGCTTTCTTCGTGAAATCGATTTCATTAAAAGGCCCAAATACTGCAGAACAGCGTTCGCCTCTCCATCCCGCTGGTTTGTTTTTTTGCCATATTGCAGGACATCATCGCTTAGCTCAGATGAGAGATGTATGTATAAATGAATGTGAGGGTGTGAAGACCTTGAATGTACCAAAATAATCACATCAACGCACACACAGCCGAGTACTAACGGCTTAATCAGCAGCATGATCTTTAAGGATGTTTTTTCCTCAGTTGGTTGTTTTGCTGAGGTCATCGTCTAATGTCCTCTCTTCAATAAGTTGCACTTTAATCCGTTTCTTGTTAATTGGCTGGCTTGTCATCAGTTATTTGACCTTTGATCTGGCGTGAATCATTACCTTAGTCTGTAACCAGCCTATGTAGTGAAAGGAAGGAGCTCGTTTCCCTCATAATAAGCGTGATTATTACAGTGCATGAGGGGAACTCGCTAATGACAACAGCTCGTAATATCTTCAGAGGCTCACAGGCTTTGCAGAGTTATGAGTCCCTCTTTCTGCAGTTCATTTAGGTCAGCTGACTCCTGCATGACTCTTGCCTGTCCAGTGATGCAGTGTAATTCTAAAAATGATTTAGGCGGCAGAATTAATCAGGTTTGGGAAGATGATGAGATTTTTCACCAGAAAGGGATTCGGTGCCTTTTGATTTCATGTTCATTTTTGGCTTTGTTGCAGTTTTTTTGATAAATCAAAGACTGTTTTTAAAATGAATCATCTCTGTGCTAGATAGAGGCACGAGGAAGAAGCTTTAAGGGAGTTGTTTGATATGTTATGTAGGCATATCTTTGAGATTGATTCATCCATCAGCTTCATCACAATGTTCCGCATTTTGTTCACTTCATTTTCACCTCGGTATACTACAAAACTCTACTGCTGCAAAAATCACAAACACAATTTCACTGGCGGGTTTTTTTCCCCTGACTGCAGAAAAAACTACAAAAACAGGGAGAGCGACAGACAGAATATATATTTTATCAGACATTTCAAAAGATTGTAGTTTGGTCAAAAATATTGAATTTATTAACACCGAATGACAATCACCAATTAGCTCCATTGTTCCCCGTTCTGATAACACCCCGAATAATGAGTTAGATTAGCCTTTTATCCAGATGAAAGACTCAATTTTCCAACAGATTCCTTAGACATGAGTTAAGCAGAGTGATTCATGAATTTCAATTAAAATGAAAGACTTACCTCCTCCTACTTTATTATGCGATCCCCTCAGAACACCGGTTCAGATCTCAGGAGAACGGTGCGCTTTATCCTTTCTCCCATATTCAAAACTTCATTTCCATATTTCATTTTTTTTCATATAAAGGATGTGACACATCTGCATTTCCCTTCTCGCTGATACGAATTTGCTGATTGAAAGTAAACGAAATCAACTCATCGTGGTGACATTGAATTCGTCTCCTATTCTCTTTGAATACTTGGCATACGGTGGGCTCATTGATTACAGGTATAGTCAAACTCACACCTTCGTCAGCATAAAATACTCAAGCTCTTGTCCCTTTTCTTTTTCCCTGCCTCGCTGTAATTAGGCAGTTTCTACCGGAGTACAGATGCTGAGAAATCTCTCCTAAATTATCTTTCAATCTCTGGTTTACCATTTTTGCCGCGGGAGCATTTCTGCGATTAGCACCGGCATGTCGGTGTTTGGGATTCACTCCTCTCCCTCCTCTCCCGCTGCATCCCTCCCGCTGCCGGTGGATCTTAATCGAAACCTGATTGAGTGATAATCTATAGTTGCAGTGTTGGGGCCTGCCGCCAGCTCTCTACTGACCCCTTTGCCTGCAGGATGAGCGCCATAGTGTTGCACACAGAAATGGCGAAAGTGCCTCAGGGCGTACGATGAAAGACGCCGCTCTCCTGCCCGCCTTTCATTTTTAAAAGGGCAAGAAGCTACAACAGAAGCATGGCTTGGATAAAGCGTGTGATCAGTGCTGATCAGTTAAGGCCACGGTCTGACTGTTCTTCTGCCCTTGGATTGTGTATCATCCCCCCACAGGCTGTGTTAGCGGGCTGCTGATTCCCATCAGTCGGGGTTACTCTCTCGTTGTTTTGGCCTGACTGTCAAGAGCTTGTGTGTCTCAACCCCGCTGGCCAGATGACCTTGGCCGCCACAGATGTATTCATACTAAGTGCCCATTTTTTTTTTTTTTGGATACTTCTTCTCTGCTTACATACAAAACCTGGCACTGTGGCAAAACAAAACAAAAAAAACCTCCATGTAGGGCACCGTATTATCCAGCTGAACCAAAGCAACTCTTGTGAATACGCTCCCAGGAATACTAATGGCGACCCAATCAATCGGGGGCCCTGTTGGTCGATGTGAATGATCAAGAAAACTGCACACTCGGTAAACACCGAGGTACCTGGACCTGCTACTTTAAGGCATCACCGTATGACAAAGCAGCGGCTGATCAAATTAGAGGGGATTTATAGCTTGTTCTTTTATGGCTCAGCCTTCTGATAACAGCTCATTGTGGGAAGTAAAGCTATGTGATAAACAGAGACGTTAACCAAGGACTCAATCTACTAAGAAATCATTGGGCCCAGTGTCAAGTGGTACAGATGGATGTTGAATATGAGCGTCATGGCTAAGATTTAGTCCCCTGATGGTATTAGGGCGATATTGAGTGTTCAATTTTATGGGCCATTTTCTTTCCGCTGTTATCTTGGTGGTTTTCATTATGCTGTTTACTGGCGATTTAATGATGTTTTACACTCTGCATGCGTGTGTGTGTGTTTTAACTCAATTACACACTGGTGTCTGTTGTCTTTGTGTGTCCCAGCTCTTTGTACAGAGGAGTGCGTCCATGGTCGCTGTGTGTCTCCTGATACCTGCCTGTGTGAGCCCGGATGGGGCGGACTGGACTGCTCTAGTGGTGAGTGCACTTTACTCCCAAACTCCCCATTAGTCACTTGGACTCATTTCTTTCCAAATGGCGTTCACAGCCAGTTATTCCATAAGAATTCATAGTGAACCCTTCAACTGTTTTCGCCTCGATGTGCGTCTATCTCAAAGCTGCTCTCTTCTTAGCAAACACAGCCAATGGAACAGGTAAGTCACAATGAATTCATTTTCATTTGCTGGAAGTGGAAGTGATTTGCTTGATGAATATAGCGGACGGATGGATGGTTGCATCCCCCTGTTTCTACCGAGCTCTCTGTTACGGTCTTAATCATGATTAGACCGGTGCCTGTGACTTGGAACCGTGGATCGATGCCAAGCTGAAACAAACCGTTGCGCTGGCCTTTCTGTTTACTGGGGTTTCCTTCCAGCTCCCAGAGCTCCCCCAGCTGCTCTGCTAAGGGAGGGTGGAGGCAAATCCATCGTGCAATCAGCTAAATGCTAGAAACGAGTCATTGCGACCGGAGAGGCGGAAGTCATTGATTTACTCCTTTTATGATATTTATGCCTGCAGAGAAACAGTGCATGTGCATACAGGAGGGCAGTGACCCAGTCAACATTTTTGACCTAAAATTCGTAACTTCATCTCCCATTTGCATTTAACTGTTATCGCCCATTGCATATGTATGAATGAATAATGGCGGCCAAAATCATATCATCACTGTTATTGTACAGATTTTCATTAGCAGGAGAGCCATTCCCTGATTAGCAACTGTGTGTAAATCAGCCCGTTGGCGGCGGATTCATCGGCATGAATGACGAGTCTGAGCTGAGCTGCTGCTTCTCACTCCTACAGACTGGTGAGGGTCCAACGGTGGGCATGTGAGGTTCAGGGCCCCCGGGGACTCTTCTCCCACTCTTGCTTGGTTAGGAGTGCAGCCGTGTGTGCCTTCAGCCTGCAGGTGCTGGGCTAATCCACCTTATTAAAACAGACTTGATGATTGAGACAGAGGCATTATTCATAACTTTAGATTTCCATATCAGGCATGATTCCAGGCTTTCTCATTTACGAGCTTTCATCTGTAGAAATAAGGAATGTGTGCCAATTTTTAAATTAAATCTGCCCTCTTTTTCCTTCATGTAAATTGTTCAGCATGGATTTTTTTTTTTTTGTCTTTCACGGTAAACTTTTCTTCCAGCCAGCTCAGGTAGCCGATGTGAACATCAGTAGTCCTTGTGTTAGCGGACTCGTGCACAATATATTGGTCGGCTGGGCTAAAAAGCACACTTATAACTTTTATTCAGTTCCAACACTATCAATGCCATGCTTTATTTGCTGTTCATTTTACCGCTATTATGTTTGAGTTGAGGTATTTAGGCTCACATAAAAATCAATCCCCTGATTCCAGGGCTGGTGAGAAGGCAAAATGAACTGCTCACGTGATGTGTATGTAAAAGTGTGAATCCCAGGAGATAAAGAGAAGCCGTGGGATGCTGAGCGGCGTGAAGCCAGTGATCTGGAGCCGCATCAAAGGCTTGGACCTTGTTTCTTGAGCAGCGCCCACCAGGAAGCACTTTTTGAATATGGGTCAAGTGGTGAAAATAAAGAGTGGGACTGTTTGAGGCCGGAAGAGAGAAGGCGAAAAGGCTGGGATGGTATAGGCTGTGCTGAGTGCGGCAGCGAAGTCTGCAGAGGGTTTTCCACCTGCTGGTGTCCGCCCGCTGTAGCCGTCAAACACCGCCGCTGAGACCGGGCCTGCCCTGTGACCCGCCTGGAGCCCCGCGGTGTCTTAGGCTCTCGTCAAGGACACACTAGGAGATAAAACAGCAAAACGCGACGTTTGAAGCTGCCTGTTGTTTGCAAATGTTATCTGGTTCTACATCTATCGCGCGCGGATTTGAGCATTCCGAGTTGAGGTTGTGTTTTCCCAGTAGAGTCATGAATGATTCATTGTTGTTGGTTAGTGGGATTCCTCTAATGCCGGGGTGTTGTGTTTGTGGAACGTGGTCTTCAACATGTTTCTCTAAGCACATGTCGTTGAATTGATCTTTTTTTATTTGCTTCCTTAAAGCGCTCGGGGCATCAAAGCGGCGCGGTGTCATGTACCGGTTAACGTTTGCATTGTCTGCTTCTCTCTGCTGTGCTTGCCGTGCTGTTTATATCATGTTGAAATGAACTGTCCTTTTTGTGCCACTGTGTGTGCTTTGTTTTGTCAGTCGGGTTTGTCTTCAAAAACAACGTGGTCGTCGATACGTTTTTCGCCATGTTAAAAAAAGAAAAAAGATCTCAACAGCAGCCATTTTTGCGAAGGCAATTTATATAGATGGAGCTCGGCTTATGGGACCGAACAGTATGTCTTTAGTCATTTGAGTTCACTGAAGTATAGTTCTAGAGATTGCAAAAGTAGTTATACTATTGGGTGTAGTCTGCAAAAAATACAGTATGTTGCTGTAAAAAGAAGAAAGCAATATGAGATGAAATGGGATATCAAAACTTTGAAGAATATTATGAGTTCATTGAATGAAAACAATATGAGTTTCTTTCTTCTCTCTGAGTTCAGAGTTTTCAGTGTTTCCCTCTTGGATTCGGCTTTTTTTCTCGTTGCGGTGGAAATGTTGACACAATTATGCAGAGATTAAAAAAAAACAATAAGTGTCTAATAACTCCAAGGAGTTTAGCTTTGTTAACCGAAAAGCATCTTTTCTGTTTGAGAAAGAAATCTATCACACTCCACAGTCAAAACTAATGTGGTGGATCAGCCGTGGTCCATGAGGTAACATATTCCTCCCTAATGTATTCAAACGATAAGGCAGCCATTGCTGCTGGTGCCTTACACATGGTTAATTGATGAATGTGGCCTATAAATACTTATTTATGGGAGATCTCACGCGACAGAAGGGGCTACTACTGCTCCTTATTTCATGTCTATTGTAAACTACAACAGTGGGAGTATTCATTATTAAGGCTTTAAATCTGTTATTGGTTTCATTAGATATCGAAGTAGGCTTCATTACCTTATTCATTTGCAGATGAAATTTCTCCGACCAGCGGGGACACGATATGAAAGACTACGCACACCAAAACTGTGCAAGTAAACTTCATTTTGGCTGCAAAGACACACTTGAGAGGCCTCCCTCTGGCATCCGTCGGCAGAATTTACACGTTATTATCAGAAGTGCATCTGAGCCAGATGGTTCTTCTCCAATCCTGCAGCAGCAGGACATTGACATGCATCGCTGTCAAAGACCAAAAGACTGTGAATTACATTCAACGTTACAGAGACGCACACACAGATTTACATCCCTCCCCCTCCTTCCCCCTCTATGTACGTGTGTGCCATCGAATGTGGAGAAAAGCAACAAGTCCCTTTTATTTAACCATTGGGATCGTTTGAGAACAACAAAAAAACTGCAAACAACAAATCTCCACACCAACTAAAAAGAGGAGTCTGAATCAATTGAATTCCTCATTACACCACCATGTTAACGGGGAGCTATAAATATTCTAACATTCATTCAGAAGGTTCCTTGTTGCCTGTAACAGTCGGCGCAGCCTGCCTCATTCATTCTAATAGATCAGAGCACCCAGCAAACCGTATTTCTTGCGGGGACAGAAGACGGGCCGATCTATAGTGCCGAGTGGAACGCAGTCACTTGTACGCGTGTGTGTGAGTGTTCATCCATGAAGCCCTTCTGTGCCGACGGAGCTTTGTTATTGCTGCAGTCAGTTTGCACGGGCTCATTCTACTCTCAATATCACCTCATTTCTTTGGCGCTTGATCGTACTGATGAACTGAAGTTGGTTCTACCAGTTAAAAAAAAAAAAAACCCAAACCAAACCAGTTTATTACATGTTTATTAGTGTAAATCTTTAGTCCCGAAACACACACATGCATTAATTGGGTCTGCTTAGGTTGTGTGTTACTGGTGAGACACTTGAATACATAACAATACAAAAGGCTTCTCGGACGTCACAACTCTGAACAGAAACGACTTCAAGATATCATGGCAGTGTGTTTCACGGTAAGGCACAAACAATTCAGACTTAGAAACAGTAGAAATACAGTTATAGCAGGAACACGTGCTTGCATGTGTTTCGATCGCTGTGCAATGACATCTGTCAAACTGCAGTTTGCAAAAGTTCAGCCGGGCTTAATCTTTTTTGCCAGAGCCCTCCTGTGATAGCACGCAGGCCCTCTCACGGGACTGACCTTTTTCAAATGGAGGATCTTTTTCTCTTTTTTTGGACAGGGCAACCGATTGTCTGGACGCAGCTTCATGCATGACTAAATAAAAATGGGTTTCACTGCAGAAATGCATTGGAATGTAATTGCTACATAACCAACGGAACTAAAAATGCTTTAATAACAATGACTGGGATCTCCTTAAAAATACACTCGTGTTTACACTCGTTAAATGGAATCAGATATCTTCCATTGATTACAAACTGCATAAATACGGCTCTACAAACACTGAAACACTGATTTTCTCCATGTTTGCATATCTATCAAATATTGTCATACCCAGATTTACAATCAAGCCTTATTGAGGCTGATTCTTTGCAGTAGTGGTTGGCATGAGAGCCACGTAGCTACTGTACTAAACTGATTTTGATGCTGCGGTGGCTGTTTGACTAGAAAGACGTTTTTTTTTACTGCACGTTTTATGACCTTTTGCTGCGTCCAGCCAGCAGAGGTCAATCGAGACGTTTCGTGTTGTCCATCTATACATACAATCAATACATGCATGCAACCACATCCTGCTGGTGCAAAAAGTGAAGAAGACTGCATGCTGGATACAAATAATGCATTATATAGAGTCTAAAAGAGTTTTATAATGAAAGAAATACTGATGGTGGCGGTTAAATGCATCCAACTGAACTGTGCGGATGCTGAGGCTGTGATCTTTAAAGATGTGACTCTCATGTTGCTCATCTGACTTATGTGTGGTGCAAATCACTTCAGCTGACTGACGGTGAGCCCATCAAATGAATTGTGGCCCACACTTTGGAGCTCACAGCCTTCTTTAATGCTGAACACACACGCACACACACACACACACACACACACGGACACACAGAGACACAAATCGCCGTCTCTGTGAACGCGACAACTCCAATCATTTGAAGAGGTTTCACATTAGCATCACGCACACATGCATACATGTCTTTTTAACATTTTCTCACCATGTAAGGCTCATTGGCCCAGTAT